TTAATAACACGATGCACGCTTCACCATGAAACCATGAAAATCGTTCAAACAATGCAATCAATGTTTTTTATACAAAATCCCAGTTTTTTTTAATATCAATAAATTTTTGACATAGAAACGGTCAACGGTTGACAAAAAAAATCTGGTCTAATATTTTGCGAGAAGGAACAAAACACCCAAGTTTTATGGAATTCTGAGAACCAGTATATTAAATTCACATTACAATTTCATGACAACATTTATATAACCTTTAAAACAATGTTCACTCAGCTGTTCAGAAGCAGGCCACTCTTGATTTGTGTCCCGCAATCGTCTGCATTCTTGGCAGCAACCATTGTGTAGTATTCCTCAATGTTCTCCATCAACAGTTTTTTCGGTCGATTCTTCGTCGGTTTTGGAAGCAACCGTTTCTTGATGAGTGTGTAAGTGCTGACCACGTTTTGCGTCTATTGCTGCAATGGAAGTGCTCTGCCCCCCATTGGCAATACTGCCATACAATGAAACCACTGGAAGCGGCTCCCGTTCTGATGGAGGAGGCTTATTGGATAACGGAAGATAAAGTGTTTATTGTGTTGTACCTTTTGACTATAGTTTTAAGATGTTTTGTATACTGAAAAAGAATCGTTGGCTCTGTAAAGTTAATTCGGTTGAGCCTTATCAAATAAATTAATAAACAACAATAACCATTCAAACATCACAACAACAAAAATTGTCTCCATTGCTGAACTAGTCCATTAAATAACACAATAATTTTAAAATGGCCTAGATTACCCAACATTGTGTTGATATCGATCCTCTTAAGGGGAAGCTCACCGGCCCAAAAATAAAAAAAATATTTTCGGTACGTTTTTATTTTTCTAAAAATATTGGGAAAAATTATCAAAAATCCAAGAAAATCAGTTTCTTCCTTAGATTTTTGTCAAAAATTACATGCAAAAAAATTTTTCTTTCCCATCATGAAAAAAAATTAGACTCTCAGAAAAACCGAAAAGTTGATGTTTTGTGGTTTTTTGAGTCCAACTTTATGCCATAATGACTTATAAAAAATGTTTTTGCACGTGAATTTTCTTTGAAAAATTAAAAAATATGTGATTTTCTTAGAATTTTGATATCTTTTTCCAATATTTTTAGAAAAATCAAAACGTAATTATTTTTTTCGGAGCGGTGAGCTTCCCCTTAACGACAACTCTAAAAATCATATGGAAAACTAAAAATCTTTCATTAATATTGAAACGCCAAAAATGGAGTTTCCAAACTGGCTTTAGAAAGTCATTCTGAAATTAAATGATAGAATAGTCTTGAAAACGCCAAAATAATTAATTAATCAAAATAAAAAGCATTGAAAACCAAAAATTGATTTTGAAACAGGTTGTCATTGTAACTCAATTTGTATTATCTCAGCATAATTTTAAATTCAATTTGCATGATCTTTAAAAAAAAAGATCAATCTGTCTGGATTCCTGCAAACCTCCTGAGGGCAGCCCACGATCCACCGGTGGTTCGCGAGCCATAGATTGAGAAACGCTGCCCTACAATTTCCCGAAGAGGATGACGTATACAGTCGAAAAATCGATGTTTGACGCCAGTTTGAATTCAAGATGGTGGCCATTGGATTCAGAAATACTGTCAAATATCCAACAATATGGGTACTTTTGGAACGAGTACGACGAGTAGATGTAAAAATTCGATATCCGCCACCAATTTGGAACCCAAGATGGCGGCTATCGGTTTTATTAAAAAAAAACAACTGTCAGATGCCCTACAAAATTGGGGTTTTCGTTGTCATTTAGGAACAAAAAAAAATTCTTGCTAAATAATAAAGTCTCCGTTCTGAAAATACTCACAATACTTTCGCATAATACCCATATTGTTGGCTGTTTGACAGTTGTCTTTTGTAAAACGGATGGCCGCCATTTTGGGTATCAAATTCACAGCGGGCATATATTGCGCATTTCACACCAAACTAGACAAATACGCTCGTTTTCACTTATTAGAAGGTATGATAAAAGTACGAGTTTCAGTCTATCGTCTTGGTGTTTCGGTACACTTATTTCTTATGATGCAAGCAATAAGTTCTCCAAAAACATCAAAACGATTTGACCGAAACATGCACTTTTATCACGCTTTTATGCATTATTGGAGCAGTCCAGTTTCAGATGCAATCAGCAATAAGTTCTACAAGTTTTACAAGTCGTCCCCGTTCTGAACATACCCATATTGAAGGATTTGACAGTTTACAAAAATAGACGTCCACGATCAGGGATTTCAAAATTGTGGTGGACATCGAATTTTAACATCGACATGCCGTTCTTGTTCCGAAAATACTCAATATTTTACGTATACGGCAGTATTTCTAAAACCAATTATCTTGGATTCCAAAATGGCGTAAAACATCGATTTTTGACTACTTCACGTCCCCAGTCCGGAAATAAGCAAATTAATGGGTATTTTATAGTTGTTATTAAACAGATATGGTGAACATCTGTTTCCAAAATGGCGTCCAGCCTTGGGTTTTGACCTCTACACGTCACCCTTGTTTTGAAAATACTCACATTGAACAGCAATACGGGGTAAGCTTCGAGAAATAGCATATTCAGGAAGTGCGCAAGTACGCTGACGCTACGTAGTGAGAGAGTTCTGAGCTAATATGACCACCATCCAGAAGACCGGGGTCATCTGCACAACTTAGCTGAAGACAGTAAACTTCTATATGGCCAGGATTTCGAGATATACCTTAGACAGGAAGTTTGCATGCATACTAGCGTCTCGTAGTGAGAGATTTCTGATCTATTATGACCACCATCCGAAAATAATAGGTTATATAAACAACTTTGTCGAAGACAGTAACCATTTATATGGCCAGGATCTCGAGATACAACATATATAGGAAGTTCATATGCACACTAGCGCCGCGTAGTGAGCATTCTGAACTAGTATGACCCCCATCTGAAAGGACTTGGTCACCTGAACAACTTTGCTCAAGACGGCAACTTCCTATATGGCCACGATCACTAGATATTCTATGTTGGGCCCAAATGTCATATTTTTATTATAGCGACCATAGAGAGACCATGAGTCAATAACAGAGTAGCAAATATTGAAATGGGATAATCCTAAACATGCCATGTATTTTGATGATACACGATGTGTGATTTCCCTCTCACAGACTTCAGAATAGAGTAGCTGGCCCTGAAAAGAATTTCCGTACCTTTATTTAAACCAATGAAAGTTAAAATGGTACAAAGCCATTTTGGGTGCAGAATTATATACCATTGATAATGAGATCATTCATAAATGACGTAGAATATTTTTGACGAATTTTAGAACCAACCTCGTAGCGTATTTTGCTAAAACTTATACATGACCGATGTCAACTTCTGAAACTCCTCCCTCTCTCCTAAAATGCAACGTCATTTATGGATGTTCTCTAAATTGTATTAACTTGATGTGTCACCCTTAAACTTGTTGTTGTAGATCGATTATGCGTCATGCAGTACCTGAAAAAAAGGGAAAAGAAAATAGATTAGATCATGTTTGATGCTTGTAAAATAAAAGTATAGTTATTCAAGACATTCGCATAGATCAAATTTATTATCAATACAGTATTGACGATTTCACATTATTATTCATTGTTCTACTCCCGTTGACATTTTTTAGCGACAGATATTTGAACTAAACCCTAAATCATATTGGATGGTTATTAATATTCAATACATGTTCTACTCATGCAACCAACACGCTCACTCAAAAGCCAGAGCCCAAAGCGTACTCGTGTCTTTTGCTGGCCAGTGAACTCCCGGAGCCCCTAATTCAAATTTGATGAATTCAATTTATAGTCAGACTCTGCCGACCGAACGAGGCCACCGAAGGGAAAACTTAAATCTAATTTTCATTAAATTTTCCCCATCCTGTACGGCAACGACGATGACGAGAATGTCATCATTCAGGCGCACAACAATGTTACACCACCGAGTGACATGGTAGCAGCATCCGACAGCTTAGCAATCGATTTCTCATCAGGCCGGATCCACCGGCTTGTAGGCAATGGCAATCTCGAGTCAAAACAAACATCGACGACGACGACGACGCCAGCCAACAACGATGACAATGTCGACTAGTTGTCTAGAGCGGAGGTACTACATAGATCCACAGGCACAGGAAACTGTAGTAGGACACATGAGAATTACGACATCCCCCCCCCCTCCCACTTCTTTATGAAAATCAGCATATAAGCAAGGCACAAACATAACGCATCTTGTGGCTGAATGAAGCACACACTCGATGGCTTCCTCTTTACTAGTTCCACACTCGACTTGGCAGCTTGGCAAACCGTGCCCTCCTCAACTGGTCCATATTTCGCTGTCGATGGCAACAGTGACAACAGCAACAACTGGAACCGGAAGACCGCGACGCATGTTTGATTTCGAGTGGATCCACTTTTCTGTAATAACCGGGAGAGCAGATGGCTTCAGAGGTGTTAGTAGATTTTCAAGGCAGAAGGCGTGCAGTTTGCCACGTTCACCTGGGCATGCCACTGACCAGGTAGTCATGAAAAATTGAGTGGAAAATAGAGGATCCTGCTGAAGTGGGACATTTCAGATTCTGGCGCACGCTGGCAACTGTACAATACCACTTTTAATCAAATCATGACATGGCACCCATTCCAGCAGAAATCTACGGTGGAGAAAGACGAGACGGTGGTGTTGCTGTGGGGGAGAAAGCTGTTGATGGCAAATATTATCAACCGGAAAACGAAAGTGGTACTTCTCAGCGTTGGCATCGTAGTCCGTCGGGGATGCGAACGATCATGCGTGTGTGTATAAGTGTTGGATTCTGCATCGCCCATTGTGTTTCAGTGTGGTAGACGTTGTGATGAAAAGTTACATTCAAACCGCACATTCGCGTTAGGTTTCCATGAGTGTTGAGAAGGATGCGTATCCTTGAAGTACGTCACATTTGATTTTTTCTTTTCTTTTGATGGTGATAAGTTAGTCTCTAGCTTAGAAGTAATGCTTCACACATAGCTGTTTGATTCCTCTACGATGCCCAGGGATGAATCTACCATTGCCACGTCCATCGTCTCCGTTATTGGGAATGGGAAGACTTTGATGATGATGATGATGATGATGATGATGATGATGATGATGATGATGATGATGATGATGATGATGATGATGATGATGATAATGATGATGATTACGGGATGGAATTGATTTTTGGTAGATAAATGGGTCTAGGATTCAACCCACCATTTTTGATTTGTTGGTATGCAAAAATGTCGGTCGGTACATTGTTTTAACGGTGTTCAGATCGAATAGATTGGACCCGATTTATCAAGAGATACGCCACGGATGCACTGGAAAGTTTCAGTGCAGCCATCACTTACTGCTAGATCCGATTTTTGCTTGATTTGTTGCTGCATAGTCAGAAGGTAGGTTCGGAATCTTGCAGACGAGTCTGAATTTACTTTTCAACAGCTCGTGTACATTTTCATCCTGAACGATCTGTTCACTTACATCTTCTGCCACTTGCTGTTGATTCACTCCAAAAAGTCAGTTCAGGAGTTTGTTAAGTTCAAAGCACATGTATCATCAGTACCTCTTGTAAATCAGGTAAACGGTGTCCATTTGAGAAGAGAACCATTAGCGTGCTTACCAATATTTACGGAATAAGATCCAAGTCCTTCAAATGACAAGTTCTTCCAGATTGAAGACAATAGTGTCAAAAACCGATAGCATCGTGAAGCTGATCGACTCCACATAGTATATAAATTCATGCGTTGGTATCGAAAGGTCTAAATTAATAACTGTGGAAGTGCATTTAGAACACTAAGCTGAGAGCACGCAATACGCTAATATGCGCTAAGCAATAATCTTGGAAATGCGAATAAGAAGATGATAAAAGGTAGATGATAAAAGGTAGATGATAAAAGGTAGATCATAAAAGTTCAAAAGAGCAAAAGATTGAAAAACAAAAACAAAAGGAAAAAGCTGTCCTTAGACTTTTATTCCTTTTGACTCTATGTCTTTCAATCTTATGTCTTTCTACTTTTTGTACCATAACCTCAAGTTCTTATAAGCTACGAGTTAAAATTACTGAAATTTCGAGCTAAAAGATGCGTTAAAGATTACTGACGAACTATCGAACTTTGAAATATTTCTATGACCCCAGATTAAAAAAAAAAGCTCTAAAATTTTCATGAATTCTATATCATGAACTATATATGAACTATCAAAAGAAGTCTGATGGAAAGCTTTTAAATAAATTCACATGATATTTTCAAGGAAACATTGAGAAGAGACTTTTGGTAAAATTTCAGGGAATTTTAGATGAATTTTAAGGAAAATTCCATGATAGTTCGATGTAGAATTCAAAAGGATTTATAGTGAGCAATTTAATCGAATTGTTTTACTATTTTCAGTGGAACTCTGAGAAGGCCTATAAGCTTATTTCATGACAAAACCCGAAGAAATTTTCTTAGATCTTCAATCGAAAATAATTCAAAAGAAAAATCAAAGATGAACTCTAAATATATTTACAAAGAATTTCTTGCATGACAATTCTGAGAAGAATTCGAATAAGCATTCAAAGTTGATCTTGAGTAGATTTCCAAAGAGATTACGACAGGAATCCCAAGGCATTTCTCTCAGTTCGTTCTTACGACGAGTATTTAGATTCAGCTTCACACATGGCAGTGCAAAACCATCTATGGGTGAAGAAAATTTCGTAAAAGCACTGGACGCGGATCCCGTGCAGATGATCACTGCATATTGCATAGCGGAGGAAAACGCTACGTTCATCAAATTCAAATAAAAAGAATCGATGCTTCTTTAAAAAAAAAACTACTAAAATGATAAAATCTCAAAAACACCAAAATATAACTCTCTCAAATTTTGATATTTTGTTTATCGAATGTTGCTTAATTTTTGTTGAAATTTTAGGTAGCGACTGTTTGCGCCTTGGGGGGATATTAAAGTTCAAACATTGTTGTATTTTTTTGGTTTTTCAACAATATCTTTAAAATTCGAAGCTTAGACCAGTATGTTTCTTCACAAAAGTTATTTATTTTATGCATTTGTATAAGAGAAAAATATAGTATTCTATGGTTGTCAGCAAAAAAACCGAAACAGAATGAAAAAAAAAACATATTTTCGACATTTTTTTTAACTCTATATAACTCGGAATAAGTAGGCTGTGGAAATTTTACGTCTTAAAAATAGTTGTTTATTTTGTAAAAGTAAACAACTTTGCCCAAGACATCATGCCTCCAAAACGTCAGATAAAGCAATTAAATTGTGGTTCCATCTTTGCGGAAGAGTTTTGGACTATTTGTTTATGTCAATAGATGGTTCTTATTATGATGAGAAACATTACCCGAGACACCAAGTCGCGGAAAAGCTTCGTTTCGAAATTGTTAATTTTGCTTTGCTAGATTGCATTTCTGACCCAGTGTGCAGTGGAGAGCATCGCTGAAACAGCAGCCACCTGTTTTCAAGTTCAAGAATGCTGCGTATTACCACTATAAATTCGGTAAAGTTGACTGTACAGAGAAGGAGCGGATAGAGGACGGGCGCTGTTGAAGGAAAAACAATTGAAAAAAGCAAGGGAGCGGAGGGCATGGCAGAAAGTGGAAGCTAAACTCAATTTACCTCTCAGGAAGAGTAAGAAGCACTCATAAACAATGTTTCTCAGTATTATTTTATTGTAATTATAACAATATTGACTGGTTCTCGGCTCAGCGCCTTAACAAATAAAGTAAATAAAAAAAAGCATTTTCCGCTCCTTTTAGGCTTCTCAAGCGGATGGTACTTCTTGGGAATTCCCGGAGATCGAGAGAATCTTTTATCTAGTGAATCTATATCATCCGAATGTATTTTTTTTTTTAATTTCTTAAGGACGGTCATGAATTCTCCTAGAAATATCTTCCGACTTCCCAACTCTACCGGAATTTTTTCCTATTTTCACCGCAAACATCTTCCAACTTTCTTCAATAACTATTTCCCTTTGTTATTTCTTCTGGAAAATCCTTCTCGGTAGTTTCTTTCAATTTTCTGACAACTTCTCCAGGAAGATTATTTCGATTTCTCTTTGATGTGTTTCCCGGTATGGTCCAGAAACATTTTTTTCTGAATGTCGGCTCTGAATGCTCCCGAATACTCTTCTAGCTTATCCCGACCTTTGCTGCTTTGTGTTTCAGGCGGGTGTATAGTTCTGTCACCGTTCCAAATGTTCTTGCGATAATGTCCATGTCGTCCGCAAAGCACACAAATTGACCGGATTTCGTAAAAATCGTACCCCGGCTGTTGAGCCCGGCTCGTCGCATTACACCTTCAGACCGATGTTGAAGAGTAGGCATGAAAGTCCGTCACCTTGTCGCAGTCCCCGGCGAGATTCGAATGAACTAGATAGTTCACCCGAAACCCTTACGCAGTTTTGCAACACCGTCCATCGTTGCTTTGATCAGTCTGATCAGCTTCCCAGGAAAGTCGTTCTCGTCCATGATTTTCCATAGCTCTGTGTGGTCGGTACTGTCGTATGCCGCCTTAAAGTCGATGAAAAAATGATACGTTTGGACCTGGTATTCACAGCATTTCTGGTGGATTTGCCGTTGTCGATCGGCCGTCGATGAAGCCGGCTTGATAACTTCCCACGAACTCGGTCATTTTAGGTGATAAACGACGGAAGATGATCTGGGATAGCACTTTGTAGACGGCATTCAAAATGGTCATCGCTCTCAAGTTCTCACATTCCAAATGGTCGCCTTTCTTGTGAATGGGGCAGTTTACCCCCTTCTTCCACTCCTCCGGTAGCTGTTCTGTTTCCCTGATCCTGTTGCAGGCAGGCGGCTAACTTTTCTGGGCCCATCTTGATGAGTTCGGGTGTTATACCATCCTTACCAGCTGCTTTGTTGTTTTTAAGCTGTTGAATGGCATCCTTTACTTCCCTCAGCGTGGGAGTTGGATCAGTTCCGTCCTCTGCTGCACTGACGTAGTCGTTTCCTCCATTGCGCTGGTCGCCCGTGCCTACGTTCTCCTCGCCAATCAGGTGCGCATCGAAGTGCTGCTTCCACCGTTCAATCACCTTACGTCCGTCCGTCAAGAAGCTCCCGTCCTTATCCTTGCACATTTCGGCTCGCTGCACGAAGCCGTTGCGGGATGCGTTGAGCTTTTGGTAGAACTTCCGTGTTTCTTGGGAACGGCACACCAGTTCCATTTCGTCGCACTCCACTTCTTCCAGGCGGCGTTTTTTCTCCCGAAAGATGCGGGTCTGCTGTTTCCGCTTCTGTTTATACCGTTCCACGTTCTGTCGGGTTCCATGCTGGCTTTAACTGGGGGCGCTGTTACCGAATGTATTTTTTTCCTTGATTTGTTTTCCACCGATCTTGTTTTCCGTGCTGAGCACCAATGCTACCGACGCCAGGCAAGCAGCTCCCACACCTGGACCCTACCTATCAACCCATCAACTCATGAACCGGGGACCAACGGCTTTTTACTTCCCTTCCGAAAGAAGGCGTGATCAGAGATATTATGCCTCAGAACTTCCCGGCGGCACCGACTGGAATTGAACTCAGGCCTGCTGGGGTGAGAGGTAATCACGTTTACCACTACACCACCGGCGCCGCTAACTTACCGAATGTACACGAGCGTATGAGACGATGAGCAGAGGGCCTCGTCATCAGTTTCCTCCTCTTTTCGCTCCTAACCGTCTTGCAGATAAAACGTGCTTCAGTATCCAGAAACACGCAAAATACCGGGCAGTGTCTGTTTAGCATTTTCAATAACACGCAAGGCGTAGCGCTTCAACTCAGTGTAGATGAATTGCGTTCATTTTGAATATCTTCGCTGGATGCGCGAGCGAAACGAACAAGTGAGTTCATTATAAATCATCGAATACGCGTTTGTTGGTAGTCACCAGTGTTTGATTATCCAACCCAAAATTTCAAAAATCAGAAGCGATCCTCAAAAGCAAAATAATCAAGGTTATTTCTGGCAAAATGATTCTTTTGAATATTGTTGACCCCAGAGTCTAACACCTCGATATTATCATCAATTCAGGTTGAGGTAAAAATTTCACATTGATGCGTGTGTAAAAATCAACAAGACACGTTCTTCAGCGCTTTATTTGTGTAAAATGAAAATAATCATCAAAATCACCAAGATGAAGACGAATATTTAAATTGACAACAACACAGACGATACTGAACATCCAGCCACGAAAGAACAAACAAATGTTGACATCGATACTCAGAGGTTGCTTTGATCAAGAGAATGTTTTTACGTCAAAATTCAAATTCATGCAGGCCGGCAGGTGGTCTCTCCGTTAAGGTTGTCTTCATTATCAGCTAAGTTTAGTGTAGACGGAATAATTTTTAACAGAAATAATACCGAGGATTTCAACCATTTACATATTCAGACCGTCTTTCCAGTGACATCCAAAGGTAATTTCTTTCGAGTTTTCTCAGATGTTTTTTTTTTGTTTTCTCTGGAAGTATCTCCAAACTTCCCCAAATTATATTTCCTACTAAACGGCGCCGGTGGTGTAGTGGTAAGCGTGATTACCTCTCACCCCAGCAGGCCTGGGTTCAATCCCAGTCGGCGCCACCGGCATGTTCTGAGGCATAACATCTCTGATCACGGCTTCCTTCGGATGGGAAGTAAAGCCGTTGGTCCCCGGTTCATGAGTTGATGGGTCGATAGGTAGGGTCCAGGTGTGGGAGCTGCCTTCCTGGCACGTCGGTAGCATTGATGCTCAGCACGGAAAACAAGATCGACGGAAAAAACAAACCAAAGGAAAAAAATATATATATTTCCTACTAACACTGGATGTTTCTCTCGAGGTTCTTCTGGCTTCTGACCTCCCAAGAAGTTCTTCTGGCTATCTGACCTCCCGGGAGTTTCTTATCACTTCCCTCCAAATATTAGTCTGACTTCCCGTGGAGCAATCTCACGACATTTTCCAGAAGACTTTCTGGCTTCTCTTGGGAGTGTTTTCTGACCTTTCACGGCGGGTTCTTCTTCTTTCTGCTTCTGCTTTCCGCTGGAAGTAGGTATCTTTTGTCTTTCTTCGGAAGTTTATAAGATCTCTCACAGATGGTGTTTCGTCTTGTCCCGGAAATGTTTTCTAACTTCCCACAGAAGATTAAAAGTTTATATCGGTTTCTCCCGGAATCATAAATTAAATTTCCCGGAAATGTATCTGGTGTGGTTTGATCTTTTCTATTTAGTGAAAATGTGTATGTATTTAGCATACCTTTTCTATAAATAATCCGTTTCCTGGTATTGAATAATTATATTTAATTGTTTATAAGGCTTCGATCATTTAACGCTAGAGTCCTAGCATGGTCTTTTCGACCCAAACGAGATAGGAATCATCGGATCGCGGATATCCTTTTGCCAACAGCTTAAGTTCAGACGGATCAGAGGTGCATGTCCAAGTTCAAAAGCGGGAGCATAATTTTGGAGTAATTGGAGTATAAAAATGCATTTCTCAGAATTGTATGTCATTCCAAGTGGTCGCGGTTACCGATGCAAGGGGCACTATCGTGGCTCCGGGCTGTGAGTCATTTACGTTTGCGCGTTTACTTCACATGGGAACGGTGGAAGAAACATGATCCTGTGAGCTGTGTATATGCTTTGATGAGAGCAGGCCATGGGCCTTCTAGATTGAGTGATAATTGTTGATGTACGTTATGAGTTTTATAAAGAGGATTGATGAAATTAAATAGGGAACAACAAATAGGTCTACGACAAATAGGAATCTAGAGCTACACTTTAAACTTTAAACTGTATTCCATTGGAAAAAAAAGTCCTTAGCAATAGTTCATTACAAAAAAATCCGGACACATTAAAATCTCTGCCATTATGGCATTTTTTATGCATTTTTTTTTTTAACTTTCCTGAATCAAGCTAAGAGTGTAAGGAGTTCATTCCGATTCGATCCTGTACGCTCAAAACGAAAATCCCGGTTAATCCACTCCTTGAAGTTTTCGATCAAATTTCTGGGCAGGAATTTTATACCTCGGTTGACCGGAAAAGTGCCTCGGAACAATGTAAAATCAAAAAGAAGCCAAAGGGGCTTATTACGGATGTCACTTCACGGTGAAAACTTGTCACTTGTCGCCACGGTGAAGTGATGCCCATTTGATTTGTACGGTAATCACGGCTCTTATTCTGAGTATCACTTCCTTATTACCGTATAGTGAAACCCGTAATAAGGCCCAAAATTCCCCAAAAAGTTCATTGTGTGGCAAGTAATCTGCAGTTGTGGGCTGAAAAGCGAAACTTTCGTTACTTCTGGGACCATGAACCAGCAAATTATCCAAGAGAAGTACCGGCGGAAGAGACTGCCTTTTCTGGAGTAGCATGAGGTGGATTACCTATTTTGGCCGAACTGCTAGTACTCAAATTCCACCAAACAGTGGTACAGCGAAAATGGCTTCATAGTGGTTCCCGAGGAGATGAATCCGGCCAATACTCTGGAACTAAGGCCAATTGAAGAATACTAGTGAAGCTTCTTCTTATTCTTCGCATTTCAAGCTTATTGCATATCGCATATTATTGCGTGCTTTCAACTTAGTGTTCTAGATGTACTCCCACAGTTATTAACTGAGAGCTTTCGATGCCTGTACCATTTCTGCATTAGTATAATTGTGTGCCAAGTACAATCATTCTCTATGCCCAGGGAAGTCGAAAAAAATTTCCAACCCGAAAAATTCCTAGACCGGATCGGAAATCGAACCCAGCCACCTCCAGCATGGTCTTGCTTTGTAGCTGCGCCTTTACCAACTGAGCTAAGAGAGGTCCCATACTAGTGAAGCACATACTTAAATACTATTGTGAAGCTCATACTGAAGAAAAAGGTGGAACTGCAATTGACCTTAAGGATTTGTAGCGGAAATGGAATTTGGCAGCCAAACAAGTGGGAACAAGACTCGTGCAAAAGATGATGGGCTGTGTACGAAAAAAAGTTCGAGCAATGGCCTTTGGTAAGAAGGAAGACTGAAACAATGGTCTTGAAATAAGCATAATACCTACTAAGCTGTTACATTGAACTATGAAAAATAAAACGCATTTTTAAACCCCAACAGGATTTTCGTGACCAGATTTTTTCGTGTTCAAACTTTATGAATCTCATTGGAAAAGTTTTAAGGAATTCCTGATGATCATTTTTTTTAATTCTGAGAGCATCGCAATGGAATTCAGAGCAAAACTTAAAGTAGCATTTCATTGGAAAAGGTCCTTAGTACATCGATCGATGCTCTTCAACAACTTTCTATTCGGATCGTCACGATCATGATAAGCCATATTCGGCGATTTTCACAACACAGTTCGATGGAAGAAGCTAGTTTTTAATAGCTAATTTGGAAAATAAAACAGCAAGAAATGGCTTTGTGTGTCAAACGAAAGCGTCAATGTAGTAGTAAATGTGCACGTAGGATGTTTTGCATTATTCGAGTTTGAATTAAATTGTTTATAATTGTTCTGAGGAGAAATTCAAGACAATTCTGAGCAAAATTCAAACTGCTACTACTACTACGTACTAACATTTATTCCATGGGAATCCAGAGAGATGAGCATCAGAATTACCTTGCTGAAACGAATTGACCCTGAAACATTTAACACTGACTTAAAACTGAAGGGTTAAGTGACTGCTAATCGATTCAACTGGTTTGAAAGGACGAAATTTTCAAAGTTTAGTAGCATACAAAATTTTCAAGACGGATTTTCATAAAAATAATAAAATGTTCAAGAACTTTCCATATAAATCCTGAATATATTCCATCAACCTTATACTATATAACCGATGGAATGATCTATTTGACATGCGAATCTAATTCGGTGTAATATTCAACAACTTTTTGAGCCAAAAACATGTCCTGCCATTCAGTTAAAGCCTTTACGGCCAATCCACGGTCACCTCCTTCATCCCTGAACAATTCCTCCACTTTAACTTTCATCGATACACACTACCACATGTGCATGGTGCCAGACCGAATGATGCGAGACGATGAAGATGAAGCTGGGCTGTGATGTGACTGCTAATGTTGGAAATCCTCCGACCGCCGCTGACGACGACGTTGCGATGGACCGAAAAAGGCGTGCAGAAGCGTGTGCCGAAAACGAGAAGAATATTCATGATCTGTATCGCTTCCTCGACGCTACAAATTGGGGGTAAGTTGGAACCGGGTGGGATTGCTAATAGAACATTAGACC